CTGTCTCCGCCCCCACTCACCCCGACGACCAGGCTCCGCCTCTCTAATACACCGGCCCGTGTGAGTGGTGCGGAGGCAGCGCCCACCTTGTCCTTGCTCGCATTACACAATAATGTCTAATAGTGTATTGTATTACATTGCTCTGTTTTCTTTTTTTACCTTTTCTTGTTTCATTGTATGTAATTACAGAGGTTAGGGATTCATAAAGTACAACGCAATCATGTAAACAGAAATATATGCATCGTTATATGAAGACAAGTCCAGATTTTGTGGCCAAGGTTTAGACAATTGTTGTTTTTATTAACAGAGCATTGCAATTATGTTTTTTAAGAAGATTTTTACAGCAATATATTAGAGGGGCATGTTTGAGTATTATAATTATTATAACATTATGATTATTATAAAATATTATAATTATTATAACATATAATAATTTGTATAACATATTATAATTATATCATGTTATTATAAGTATTATAACATATTATACTTATTATAACATATTATAACATATTATAATTACGGCCTTGGGTCAATGAGAGATTTGGAGGTTTGGTGACTGCACAGAGAGAGACACACTTAATCAAACAAACTTAAAATTTGGAAATGTGATGCAATACAACACAGAGAGTCGGTCAACACACAACTAACGCATCGCCTGGCTGATTGCGTTCTTCCACAGATTGCTAAACTAAGCGAGAGAATTGAAGCAAACACCATAAGGCGAGGGCAGGAGGCAAGGCCCCGTTTTGTAAAGTTCCAACCTGGACATCGCTTCCATGCTCGCTGCTACTCAATTGACATCCATACAAGAGAGAGAGCGAGGCTCTACCTCGGTAAACAACAATAACCACCACAACCATCATAACCACCACCATAACAACCACAACCACCACCACAACCACCACAACAACCAACACCACCACAACCACCACAAACACCACAACCACCACCACCACAACCACCACAACCACTGCCACGAGAATTTCTCACCTCGGATTTCAGTTCACGCGCGGAGCGGCAACTTCCTATTACCTCGCCAACGTCACTCGTTGGGTACAAGACACTCCCCTCCAGCGGATCTGCAACTTAAATAGATTATGTTAATGAACCGGCCCATACGTGGAGGGATGGGGTGCGGATGCTGAACCCATCGCAATGAACTCGCGACGGCTTTCACGAATATATTATGTTAATGAGGCGGCAGTGTCGTGGTGAGTGCTGCGCTCCGCACCGACCAGCCGAGTTCCATTCCCACTCGTGGCCAACACCGCCAGTGACGACTTTCTGAGCCGGTCCTGAGCCTCCCCTACGTCGACTCAGCCTCAAACGAGTACCAGGTGCGGTGTGTCAACATCGCCACTAGGGAGACAAAGGCGGCCGGGCGTGGTGCCGTCCCACCCTTAATAGGTGCTCGCTAACAGCACTTGCCCCTAGAGTCTGTTGCCTCCCTATCGCCGGAACCACTCCATGTCTGCAGATGTGGCTCATGTCAGGCAGAGATTGCAACCAGGTGGTCCGTTGTCAACAGGTGCAATCACAAGAGCGGCGTCGGCCCAGCTGCAGACTCACGACTTGATAGATCTTGGGAGGGAAGATGAGCTGCTGGACTTTGGTGGCAGCCATGGAAGCCAGGACAGCAACCTTGACGTTGCCGCAGGTAGCACAAGTTATACTGGTTGGAACATCCTGGTTACACCAGCCCACAGGGGATTATTGTGTCCGTCCATCCGTCGTGCAGGGAGGGGCTGGGTGGGGAGGGAGGGGCTGGGTGGGGATGGTGGGCTGGGTGGGAGGGGTGAGGCTGGGTGGGTGGGAGGGGTGGGGAAGGACTGGTCACCCCGTGGTGCCCTCAACGTTTAACTCTAGATTTGAAGCTTTCGTGACTGCAAGGATTCATATTCTTAGGTTTTTTCGGTAAAGTCACGTAGGTAAAACATTAAAATTAATAAAATAAAAATCACGTTTCGGAGGCAACACAAGTCTCTGTCATCAGGTGGGACCGTCACAGCCAGATTTGCTGCATCAAGTGAGGCAATGATTCAAGATGTAATCCCTTAAAAGTAAGTTGAGGGGGGAGGAGAGGGGGGGGGAGCTCATCAGAATGTTGTAGCCAATGAATGGAACGTATCGGGAGGGAGGGGGGCGGGGCTCAAAGACGGCACGAAGTGCCACGTAGAACGCATCGGGAGGGGGAGGGGGGACGGGGCCAGAAGAATGCACGTCGTGCATTCTTTTGGCCCCGCCCCCCCTCCCGATGCATTCTACGTGGCACTTCGTGCCGTCTTTGAACCCCGCCCCCCTCCCTCCCGATACGTTCCATTCATTGGCTACCACATTCTGATGAGCTCCCCCCCCCCCTCTCCTCCCCCCTCAACTTACTTTTAAGGGATTACATCTTGAATCATTGCCTCACTTGATGCAGCAAATCTGGCTGTGACGGTCCCACCTGATGACGGAGACTTGTGTTGCCTCCGAAACGTCGTGATTTTTATTTTATTTTACTTTTATTAATTTTAATGTTTTACCTACGTGACTTTACCGAAAAAACCTAAGAATATCAACGTTTAACCTACTCACGCGGGCTTGTGCTCTCTCTCACAGTCGGGCATATTTGCGGAATACACCACGCCGCCGTTGACCCTGGCCATTCACCGAGCAACCCAATGTTGCTACCAGCTCCCTCCGCAGGAATGTGTTTCTGTTCATTTCCCATCAAAACAACGGAAACAATGAAATAACCTAAGAGTTAAATATTACCGCTTGATGGAATAAATTCTCCTTCACTTGCACTAAGTGGAGAGGAATTTACTGTTGCGTTGCACAAGTTGTTGAACGAATTGTAATAGCCTTGTGACCTTTACAACTGACACACCACCCCAAACAAGACGTAAATTTTGATCTTGTTCAAGGGTTATTAAAGGCCCGAACATTACAACTCTGTGTGCGGTTTTTTGGTTAGATTCATTTGGCAAGGGAAACTAGTTGGCTTTCCCTCTGCTACACTCGCTTGACAGTTTAACACATTGTCCTGCCACACCCAGTGTCACAGTGCTTGTCTGACATTACTAACCAGAAAAGATGAATGGTGAACATTTAATAGAGAAATGGAACACTTATGCTGGTCTTTGGAAACAGTTTTAAACAATCCAGGACGGTTTGCTTTTATGGAAACATTCCAACTGTGATTGTATTTGTTTGGAATGCCCCAGCGGCAGTCGAGGTTTTTGGCAATGATCTGCAGGGATGGTGCGTTTCCGTTCCTAGTCGCGAGGGCATATCACTGTTACTGCGCCGTCCGTTAGCGTTGGTTCACGTTCGGAGCAGTGAGGAAGCCCGCTTATCTTATGTTGTTGAGTTGCGTCGGCAATAAACCCAAAGGGCAACCTTACCCGGTAAATACAGTGAACCATATAGTAAACCACTGTAGTCTTCGTTCCTGCAATGAAGGAATAACAAAGCTACACCAACTCTCTCCCGAAGCCCTCTTCTGGCTAGCAGACCTCGACGTTTTCATTTATCTCCTAAACATATTGCCAGAATTGGAGTAAATTGTAATATGGTGCCACCTAGTGGCGATACAGCTCAGACGAGTCTTTTAAGTAAATAGGCGGCAAAGCTTAGTTTTCGATTCATGTTCATCATCATTATCAACCATGATTAAATCCAATGCTGGATGGAGGCCTCTCCAAGCTGTCATCATCACATTTTCTTGCAATGCAACATTTCACGGAGCACCTGCATACGAGCTGATTTCAGAGCTCTCCATCTTTGATCTTTAAACGTGCATTTGAAATTGGTTTTATACTCCTACTGATGCTCCTGCTGTTGTGGGGTAACTCATGCAGCCAGCTATGGCTACAGGGGTTGGTGGAACATGTTCGTCGTTTATTGTGAAATTTCGGTCACAGTTCCTATGATCACTGTTACATTGCTTATGGCTTTATTTAGGTTATTTTAGAAAGTTTTTTAGTTTAGCCATGTTTGTTTGTTGTAGTACGGAGTTAGAATGATGGCTTTAATTTAAGCTGTCTTTTGGTTGCTGTTGTTTGACTTGCATCCCAATGGGATTTTTGCACAGCGTTGGTGTACGGTGCTTTTTTCTGGAAGACTTTGCAGTTTTTCCCTGGATTTTTCTGTTTGCGCATAGTCACTTTGAGATGTTTTCTTGTTCATGTTTTTTTTTATTTGTTGCGGTTGCACCCGATTCAAGAACCGAATGGCTCACAGGGCTATACCAAATAAATGAAATGAAACTGTTAAGGCTATATGGGGGATCTTTCTGTTTGTGTTAGGTGCTCGCTAACAGCACTTGCCCCTACAATCTGTCCAAGCTATACGGGGAATCTTTGTCTTAGGTGCTCACTAACAGCACTTGCCCCAACATTCTGTGCAGGCTATACGGGGGATCTTTGTCTTTGTGTTAGATGCTCACTAATAGCACGTGCCCCAACATTCTGTGCAGGCTATACGGGGGATCTTTGTCTTTGTGTTAGGTGCTCGCTAACAGAACATGCCCTGACATTCTGTTCAAGCTATACGGGGGATCTTTGTCATTGTGTGTTGGGAGCAAGTTTGAGTCGCGTGTAGTCGTGGGAGTTGAACGGGCGCCTGCTGCTACTGACAGGCGTTGACTGCGATTGGACAGACGCTGATAGACAGACACACACAGACAGACAAGACAGGCGGACAGACACAGACAAGAGGAACACAGAGACAGAGGCGACATAGACAGAGAGACACAGGCAGAGAGAGAAACACACAGATGCGAACAGAGACACAGACGGACAGAGAGATGTTGAATCGAACACACTGAACTCGCTCCATTGAAAGAGTTTCCTCGATCTTTGCCCATCCCTGGAAGTCGTTCTAGTTTCTATTTATTTCATTGTGTGTGGTGTGTACGTGTAAGCAATGTAGGATATCGATGTACACGGACAAGAACAAGATCAGCAGACAAGACGTCTTTCATCCTCTTTGGTTCATTCAGTAAAGTCACGTAGGTAGAAAAAATAAAATAAATCACGACGCTTCGATCGCAACACGAGCGGTCCTCCTCAGGTGAAAACATCCAGACATTGTCACGGCAGAAGTCACGTGAGCTACTCCCTACCCCGGGGCTCGCCTCGCTCAGCTGAGCATTGTTTTAATGCGGTGGGCTCACGAGAAATAGATATCTGTAAGACGAAGGTACTTTGAAAACCCACTGGCGATACTCTTTTATATAAGCGCACAACTTTATCTGTGACTAACGCTGCACTTTTCGTCGTTTTCATGCAGGGGGCGCTGCAAACCTACGCGTCCCCTGCATGAACGACGGAGGCGCAGGGACAGACGTTCGATCGCGTTGGAATCGATCTGCAGACGGCGGTCTTCTCGCACGGCCAGCTCTGTGTCGCCTCATCTCGATCCCGCGATCCCAACCAGGTGAAATTCCGCATCGAACCGAACCCCCGGCAAGGCCATCTACTTAACGACGAGAAAATTCACACCAAATGTCGTTTTCAATTAATAAGCTTCCAAATGTAAAATGATATCAGCTTTTAATTAATGCAATTATCAAATGCAAAACAATATACAATTCAAAGTTGTTTCATTTTAAAACTTCAAAACGAAGCATCAGGAGCTTGCGTGGATGCGTCGTTTTTTTTGTGACTTTCCTGGCCCAAGGCCGTAAATGGTTGTGAGGGGCACTGCAGGCGGTCAGGCTTGCTTCAACCCGTGGTTGCCAACATCCAGACGTTAATCAGCATGGACCATTTCTCGTCCTAATTCGACAATCTACGTCAACAATACAAAATTAGAATTCGTGTTGTAGAGAATGTATCTTCTCTACGTGTAACTTTTGAGTGGTATGCCTTATAACTGATGAATGATCCGAGTGTGCTTCCTATTTCAAAGACAATGAGTTGCTCCAGAGAGAGATGTTTCCTGAAAACACAAAAATACCCTTTGACCTGTATCACAAGAACAACGGGTCTCACCTGAGTTATCTGTACAGGTTACTTGCAAAACAAACACTTTGTCCTAACATCACTTAATAAATGTTTGACCCTTATGAACAAAATGTTACATGTACGCACACCATCAGACAAGTATTCATTCTAAATTATTGACAGGCATATGAACAAAATTGAATTACTGCACCGAAATATACTGCATTAGGTTACAGCCTATTAACAAGAAGCTAATTTTTAAAAATACGCACCATCTGCTTAACATTGTATGTACAACATACGAATGCACCATTCAAAACCAGTCGGCCATTGCATGCTGGCATCTGGGTAAAAATTTAGCAAATTCTAAACATCACCTACAAACTCCACAACTGAGATGTCACATCAACCATCGCCCCTACTGATAGGCTCTTGTCCACATGCAGGCCAGTGCAGGGCCACCACCTTGTGCCACACAGGGGCAGCTGCTACTTGGGGATGCTCTTCGAGTGTTAGAAATGAGATACGATACAAAACTCTGAAATGCCGAGGCAATTAAGCAAGCACAACATAAATGCAATTCATAACATAGTGAATGCTTGGGAGCTTATTGGCTCTCGCTCCTGGTTAGAGATCTACCCAACACACAGGTCCACAAAGATGGCCGCTCTTACCCTGCAGGTTGAACCTAGGAACTGAGTGTTCAACTTCACATTCTTGTCATTAAAGGCCTGTGACAAAGGTGCGTCTATTGGAGTGGCATCGTCTGAAGCTTACACATCTACCGGGTCTCCATTTGACTTTGTATTGTCTCAGAGGAAGTCCACCCACACCTCCACTTCCACAAACTGCTGGGAGTTGCCTCGCTCTGTCTCACAGTCAGAATTCTCCTCCTGCTTCACGTTGCCTCCATCGATGTGAAGATCCGATTTTGGAGTTGAATCTTCATCTTCACATTTTACCTTCACTTCTTCGCTCTTCACCATCACTTCTTCACATTTCCTCTTCACCTCTTCATATTTCACCTCGATACCTTTAAAAGTTTCCAAGCTGGGATTTTCTTCCGGTTCTTGTTTCATGAGGGATGGGCTCATTGCGGAACTTTGACTTTCATAAGCTGATTTCAGACTCCACTCCTGGTGGATATTCTGATGCTTGTGTGTTCTCTGGTGTCTTTGAAGATGTGCTGACTGTGCAAACGCTATCCCGCACAGAGTGCACCTGAAGGGTTTCTCTCCCGTGTGTGTCCTCTGGTGTGTTACAAGAGCAGATGAACGTGCAAACGCTTTCCCACACACACTGCACTTAAAGGGTTTCTCTCCCGTGTGTGTTCTCTGGTGTTTTACAAGAGTAGATGAAAGTGCAAACGCCTTCCCACACACACTGCACTTGAAGGGTTTCTCTCCCGTGTGTGTTCTCTGGTGTACATGAAGATGTGATGACTGTGCAAACACCTCCCCACACACTCTGCACTTGAAAGGTTTTTCTCCCGTGTGTGTTCTCTGGTGTTTTTTAAGATCAGATGAACGTGCAAACGCCTTCCCACACACACTGCACTTGAAGGGTTTCTCTCCCGTGTGTGTTCTCCGGTGTAAATGACGATCTGATGAACATGCAAACGCCTTCCCACACACACTGCACTTGAAGGGTTTCTCTCGCGTGTGTGTTCTGTGGTGTTCTACAAGAGCAGATGAATGTGCAAACGCCTTCCCACACACACTGCACTTGAAGGGTTTCTCTCCTGTGTGAGTTCTCTGGTGCTGTGTAAAATGTTCAGGATGATCCGTGCTGTATGTACACCGGTCGCATTGTTGCCTTTTTGCACTAAGCCGCGCCGAGTGTCTTTGCTCCATCAGACCAATTCTGCAGAGGAAGCGACAGCTGCAGACAGAAAAAAAGAATATCCACACCATCTACACATCAGTATCGAGGCACAGAGGAATGCATATATACACAGTCACACGTGACTTACACGTCTATACTTATTCATATATTTATGACATAGTAAAAAACGTGTCCCAAATTTATCACACAGGCTGTTATGGCACACAATCAGAGGGCAAATGGTCATAAACATGTCTGAAAGCCCTCGTATCTTCAAAATGAATGTTAACCCAAAACTCCGAGCACACAATTTCGGCTGTCTGGCTTCAAAAGGAATATTTATTAAAGCTAAATTCAGCTGACATAGCAAAAGGTGTTGATAATAATACTATTTGTGTTATGCAGAAATGCATAAATTAATGTTCAATTGCAACTTAGAGGTGTGAAGCCAGCCAGGCTCACGTAGGCCTCGGCAAGGTAAGGTAAATTACCTTTATTACCGGGTAAAAGGGTAAAGGTAAAGGGTAAAGGTTTCGACATGCCAAGGGGTAAGGTAAAGGGTAGGGTAAAGGTAGCTCAGAAGAATTACCCGGTAGGGTAAAGGTAGCGCAAATAATTACCCGGTAAATACAGTACTTTGTTTACCGCTAAAAGTTCCGTGGCGCAGTCCGTGGCCTCAATTTTAAAGTGATGGCGGACTAAAAGTCGACATTGGATCTCGTGCCGGTGACGATGGAGCACCTCGTCTGTCATTGCGATCACGGTGAAGCCGCCCTTAGAGCGATCGATGAGCCCTTGACTGCGACGGGGATGAAGGCCGAACTGGTGCGGTACCGCCACCTACTGGTTCAGGAACCCGCCATTGTGGCATCCTACTTGAATCCACAGCTTCCGAAAACGACAGACCAAGACGAGCTGGCTACACTGAAGGCCACAATCCGCTCTGTCCTGCAGCATCGCTATTCAGACGTGCTCACGATCTCGCCGACGGCAGTTGCTGCCCATATGGAGGAGCGGTCGCTGTTCAGCACCCTGTTCAGCAATGTCGGCAACTCCATAGACGACGGCGATGAAGTCGATCGTTTTCTGAGCATGGGCGTCACGACCGCCAGCGCCTTCATTGATGTAATGCAGTGGTGGTTTCTCCGCAAAGAGCTGCTCCCCACCCACTACAAGATGGCCTGCGACTACTTGGGAGCGCCAGCGACGTCAACTCCCTGTGAACGCGCAAATAGCGGAGCCGGGCGGGAGTTCACATGCTTTCGCCAGTCGCTGTCAGCGACGCTCTTCATCAAGTCCATGTGCTTGCACTCATGGATAATGGCCGGCTGCCTGAAGGTTCTGTCTAACTGGGCCGGAGCGGCGCAGGATCTTATTGCCTGTGGTCCGTCCGAGGATGATGGCAATGACCAACTTGATCAAGTTGTTGATGAGATCGCCATCGACCAAGACGACTGGGACGAGGAGATTATGGAGGACGGTGTCGTCGACAGCCTAAACGCCCGATTTGAGAGTATTTTATATGAATAAAGCGCTCTAACTAGCATTTATCTTCTTGTTTCTTTCGGTAAAGTCACGTAGAAGGGAAGTAATAAAATAATAAAAATAAAACATAATAAAACAATTCTCACGACGTTTCGGCTACAACGCAAGCAGCCGTCTTCAGGTGAAGAATGAGACACTACCAAACTAGGAGCTTATATATAAGCTGCATTGGGGGTTGAAGAGCGCCTTAACAAAAAGAATGTGCATGTGAAGAGGGATTTAGCATATTCATGGAAAATGCGTAGGCGTTGGGCGGGGGGGTGTCAAAGTCATATTATGCCCATGCATTATGCAGGATCAGCAGCAACCAAGGGGGGTGCAGGGATTAGCAGTAACAAAGGAAAGGAATGTTAATGATATGTAGCTGCAGTTACTCAACAACCACGTAGAAAACTAAAGTATAAACTACATAAAAAACTAAAGTATAAACTGCATCGCACCATCAGTATACTTACTATACTCTATAATAAGCTGAGTTACTAACAGCAAGTAATACATTACAATTTTACCTCGTAAAAATTCTATAATATGCTTCCATCTAAACCTTATTCTCTTACATCACACGAGCAAATACCGTACTATATACTGCCATAGATAAACCCAACATTAAATTATATACTGTATTGCTGTAAACCAACCTATATCTTATACATTTAATATCACACTATGTATTATTCTACACACCCTAATGTGTATCGAAATGGTTTATTACGTCCTTCCAATGATTGCTGAGCCAGAATCCATCTTCTCGGTTAAAATTGTCTCTGTGTTTGTATATGTGGATCGCCTCATGAACGAATCTCTCATGATAGCCAGATGGCTTGCAGAGAACCTCTGTCTTGGAGAAGTCAATATCATGTGAGCCCACTGAGTTGTAACAGTGATCTGCCACGGCTGAGGTGTTAGTCCTACCGTGTTTCAGGTCAGCTTTATGTTCACGGATGCGGTCCGAGACATGTCGTTTGGTTTCACCAATGTAACTGCTACCACAGAGGCAACTTAGTTTGTAGACGCCAGGGTACTGTATGTCTGGAACCACATCTTTTACAGACGGTACCAGATCACGGATTTTATGTACTGTGTTGAATCGGACCTGGATCTTGTGTTTAATCAGGATTTTGGAGATCTTTTTTGTGACCCCAGCAATGTAGGGTAAGGTGATGGTCTTGAAAGGCTCCTCAACAGGATCCTTCTTGATGGTTGGAGTGATGGCTTTGCGGATTGTATGGTCGGAGTAACCATTTGCCTTAAGAGCTTGGCGTACGTGTTTGAGTTCACTGGAAATGTGTTCATGGTCGGAGATGCATTGGGCTCTATGATATAGAGTCTTGATGAGGGAATTCTTCTGGGATGGATGGTGGTGGGAATCCGGTTTTAGATAAGCATCCGTGTGGGTGGCTTTCCTGTAGACAGAGTGGCTCATTGAACCATCAGGTCTCCTTTTGATTAGGACATCCAAAAAGGGTAGCTTGCCATCATTTTCGACTTCCATGGTGAATCTGATGGCTGGGTGTATGGAATTGATGTGGTCGAGAAATTGGTCTAGAGCAGGCCGGCCATGTGGCCAGATGACAAAAGTGTCGTCTACGTACCTCTTCCATAAGGTCGGGCGTAGAGTGGCAGTCTGGATGGCGTCCGTCTCAAATTTCTCCATGAAGATGTTGGCTACAACCGGAGATAGGGGGGAGCCCATTGGGGTGCCCTCAATTTGCTTGTAGAAGGTTCCATTCCAGGTGAAGTATGTATTGGTTAAGCAGTGTCTCACCAGGGGGGGTACCCCAGCATTCAGTCCTTGATGAACCAAGTCTTCAATGATTGCGATGGTGTCAGGCACAGGTACCTTGGTGAACAAGGAAACCACATCAAAACTGACAAGCAGGTCGTATGGGGACAGGGCAATCCCCTTGATTGTCGATACCAGGTCAGTAGAGTTTAGTACTGCAGAGGTGGTTTTTCCAGTGAAAGGCCGTAGGATTTCGGACAAAAAACGAGCCAGTTTGTAAGTGGGGGAGTTGATAGTAGAGACAATGGGACGAAGAGGTGTATCTTCTTTATGTATCTTTGGCAAGCCGTACAATCTTGGTGGTCTGGCTGCAGAAGGTTTCAACGAGAACTGTTTGGTCTGATCAATTAATGCGGTTGAAGCAGAAATGATGTTGTTGGTTTTGGAGACGAGGCTGTTGGTGGGGTCTCTTTTTATTTTTGTATAGCTGCCATCGTTTAGTAGTTCTTGAATTTTGTTGTTGTATTCTATTTTGTCCATGATGACAGTGGCATTGCCTTTGTCGGCTGAGAGGATGACAATGTCATCCCTCTTTTTTAATTGAGCTAATTCAAAACGCTCCTCTTTGCTGATGTTGCTAGCTGGCAACTTAGCGTTTTTGAGGGTTACAGAGATTTCGGATCTTGCTACGTCTGCAGCGATGTGACTCAAGCCCTTGAGAGCTACATCTACTCGAGCAATTATATCATTAACTGGTATGTGTCTAGGTGTGACTGCAAAGTTTAGTCCTTTAGCTAAAACGGATTTCAAACCTTCAGAAATAGGACTAGCATTTATCGTTATAAATCTTTTCCATGTTTTTTAACCCAGTAATTACCCTGTAATCGGGAAATTTGTATGGGATAAGGATAAAAGGTAGGCTCGTTCTTTTTTACCTTTTACCTTATCTGCTAAAGGGTAAAATGTAGGGTATCGCGATTGTATTGTGGTAAGGTAAAAGGTAGGGTAAAGTTTCTCTTTTTTTTACCGTTTAACTTTTACCTTACCTTGCCGAGGCCTAGGCTCACGATGTCCTTGAATGCTGGGATGAACAGATCTGACTTCAGCTGCATGTGTGTGCTGTGTTAACTTCTTGACTGTTTCCATTCTTACAAAGAGTTCCAGAGGAAAACAAAAAAACAACTCCTGTTTTGATATAACCTCCGTGCTCAATAGAGTTAATTGACTTTACTGCAAATACAAACTTGACACCGTCACACACTCAGAGGCGGAGCCAGGATTTTCAGGTATGGGGGGGCAACCCCTCCAGCAATGAAAAATGATAGTTGTTATTAAGGAGTTGTTATTAAGGAATTGTTAGGAAGGAGTTATTAGTAAGCAAGGACTTGTCCCTTGCTTTATTCGACACGTGTGATCGGCATCGCGCTCGCTGAAGGTGTTGAGGCCGATGAAGGCATTGGCTTCTCGGAGTTTCAATACATATCCGTGCGAAGAACATGTGTACAACTGCTATCTTTAATATAAAGCAGAACTTACATCTGTTTGTTTGTGTGAAGCAGCAAAAACTCTCCAACGCTGAGCTCTGGCGTCTTGAAATTTCCACAGCTTATGCTGTGTGGAATTTCTAAGCGAACGCGACTATTTTCAGCTCGCCACGTCATTCCCTTCCTGAGTTGCCAAAATCGACCTCACGTAGCAGTGGGTTACGGTTGAATATCCTCGAGTGAAAACATCCGATTTAGGTAAATTGATGTGTTTTGGCTTTTTTCTTTCTTGCAAGCATACATTTTTTTCAGGGATTTTCAGTGAAATATGAGGGAATATTAAATTTATCCAAGACAAAAATTCAAGTCCCGGGCAAAGCCGAGTAGCGAAGCTAGTTACTAATGAACCCCAATGATCCCATCGAAATTAGGGATTTCGATGGGATCATTGCCACCCCACCCCCACTGGCTCCACCACTGTCACACACTGGCATGGTTCACAGGTGGTGGTGTGTCCAGACCTATGCCTGGCCACCTTCACCTGCTTAGTATTAATGCTTCCTCACTCCACCAAGTAATTCATTGAGGATCAATCAACACAGCCGAGGCTGCGTGTCTCTCTCTCTCTCTCCCCGTGGTCGCTTTGATTTCCTTCCCAATTCACGGGTTTCCCCTCCACATGTAGAGTGAACACCACCATGTGTCTAGAGTGAACACCGCCACGCGTCTAGAGTGAACACCGCCACGCGTCTAGCGTGAACACCGCCACGGGTCTAGAATGAACACCGCCACGCGTCTAGAGTGAACACCGTCACGCGTCTAGAGTGAACACCGCCACTTGTCCAGAGTGAACACCACCACGCGTCTAGAGTGAACACCGCCACGCTGTTGACAAGCCCCACCTTGTTGTTATTGTTGTTGTGGGCAGGTCTCTTCTGAAAACAAGAGCGGTACAGCAGCTCAAGCGGGCGTGGCCTGGTAAAAAATAAAAAAAAAACTGTGAATATTTAAAATAAAAACAAAGTTACAAAGTAGCGAGCCAGGTGAAGAAAAATTTTAACTTAAGCAAGATGTTCTTTGGTTCTTTCGGAAAAGTCACGTAGAATAAATAAATAAATTAAATAACAGTTTCAGTTTCATTTATTTGGTATAGCCCCGTGAGCCATTCGGCTTTTGAATCGGGTGCAACCGCAACAAACAAAAAACATGAACGAGAAAACATCTTAAAGTGACTATGTGACTGTGCAAACATAAAATCCAGGGAAAAACAGCAAAATATTCCACAAAAAGCACTGTACACCAACGCTGTGTGCAAATAGCATACAACGTTTCAATTGCAACACAAGCAATCATCATCAGGTACAAATGAAAAAGGAAACAAACCTAGTAAACTTAGAAATGTAATGCAATACAACACAGAGAGTCGGCTAACATAACAGTCAACACCCCACCTGGTTGATTACGTTCTTCCAAAGATTGCCCAATCTGAGAGAGAGACAAAACACAGACACGGAGACACACAGACAGACACATAAGCAGAGAGAGATAACACAGAGACATACAGAGAGAGACACACACAGAGACACACAGAGAGAGACACACACATAGACACAGAGAGATGACACAGAGACAGAGAGAGATGACACAGACACAGAGAGAGAGATGACACAGAGACACAGAGAGAGACACACACAGACAGACACGGAGAAACAACACCTCTGTGTCGAGGCCTTAAATAGAGAGAGGGGGGCAGAGAGAGGGAAGGGGGCAAAGAGAGGGGGGGTAGAGAGAGAGGGGGGGGTAGAGAAATTATCAGTCAATGCAAGGCCGTAGCCATGGAGTCAACATTGGTGTCCCCCCCCCAGAAAAATATCTAAATTTGAAAACTAATTTCCTACCTAAAAATAAGAAAAGTTCACTAACACATGAGATGGAATTTTTTTTATTTGATACAATAATGTCTAATAGTGTATTGTATTACATTGCTCTGTTCTAGATTTGAAGCTTTCGTGACTGCAAGGATTCGTCTTCTTAGGTTTTTTCGGTAAAGTCACGTAGATAACAAAATAAAATTAAAATTTATGAAAGTAAAATAAAAATAAAAATCACGACGTTTCGGAGGCAACACAAGCTTCCGTCTTCAGGTGGAACCGCCACAGCACGACAGTTGTATCAAGTAAATGAGATACCACTCCATATATATGTTTGAGGGGGTGGCAAGAACGGTCCACGTTTTATTATGATGGTAAGGTGCGGCTGGCTTTTGAGACTACGGCTAGATTACATAACAAATGACTGAGCCTTTATTATGGAGAGGTGCGGTTTGTGACTATGTCGAGCCTACATAACAAAATACTGCAAATGAGACCGAGCCTCTGCCATGTAGATGGTAAAAGCACAAAAGCAGGTCAGGAAGAAATAGCCTCCTGCCATGTTGTTTGGTGGGTAACACTTATCGCAGGAAACCAGTGTGTGAAAAAAGGAAGCTAAACCTGGTCAAACAAAACTGGCTATCAATAACCTGTACAGTAACTCAAGACTAGTTGTCTGTCAAATAAGATGGTCCAAATAAGTGTAGTTAAATCTTTTTTGAAAGGTTAATCACATCTTTCCAATGATTACTCAGTTTGTAACCATCATCACGGTTGAAATTATGTCTGTGTTTGTATATTTGTATGGCTTCGTGTACAAACCTTTGATGGTAGCCAGGAGGTTTGCAGAGCACCTTGGTCTCGGAAAAGACAATTTCATGAGAGCCCACAGAGTTGTAGCAATGGTCGGCAACGGCCGAAGAATCAGTTCTGCCGTGTTTCAGATCTGACTTGTGCTCGCGGACATGATCAGAGACATGACGTTTTGTTTCTCCAATGTAGCAATCACTACAACTGCAACTCGGTTTTAGACTCCAGGATACTGTAAGTCAGGAACGACATCCTTCACAGATGGAATCAGATCATGGATTTTATGCACTGTACTGAATCTGACTTGGATCTTATGTTTGTTTAGAATTTTGGAGATCTTTTTGGTCACGCCTGCTATGTATGGTAACGTGATAGTTTTGGTCGGAGTTTCATGTGGCTGTTTCTGTATGGTGGGAGAAACAGCTTGGCGGATGGTGCGGTCAGAGTATCCGTTCATCCTGAGGGCCCGATGTACATGTCTTAATTCACCGGCCAGGTGGTGTTGGTCAGAAATTCCATGGGCTCTGTGGTATAGCGTTTTGATGAGATCATTCTTTTGAGATGGGTGGTGGTGGGAGTCCGGTTTCAAGTAGGAATCTGTGTGGGTGGCTTTCCTGTAGACAGAATGTCCCAAGGATCTGTCAGGTCTCCTCTCAAACAGAATATCTAAGAATGGTAGTTTACCATCTTTCTCCACTTCCATGGTGAATCTGTTGGATGGGTGTCTGGAATTGATGTGGTCCAAGAAGTGGTTCAATGCTGGGAGGCCATGTGGCCAAATGACAAAAGTGTCATCCACATACCTCTTCCACAGGGAAGGATGCAGGGTGGATGTCTGGATGGCGTCTGATTCAAACTTTTCCATGAACATGTTGGCTATCACTGGTGACAAGGGGGACCATAGGGGTACCCTAATTCTGTTTGTAGAAGGTGCCATTCCAGGTAAAATAGGTGTTGTTGAGGCAATGCCTAACCAGGGCAGGTACATCAGAATTCAATCCATGTTGGACCAAGTCCTCAATTATTGTTAGGGTGTCCGGTACTGGACATTGGTAAACAGAGATACTGCATCAAAACTGACGAGAATGTCATCAGGAGATAGTACCATGTCCTTAACTTAGAGACTAATTGGGTTGAGTTGAGTACTGCCGAAGAGGTCTTGCTTGTGAAGGGAAGCAGAGTATCTGATAGAAACCAGGCTAGCTTGTAGGTAGGAGAGTTTATCGTCAACACGATGGGTTGTAGCGGGGTGCCTTCTTTATGGATCTTGGGAAGACCATAGAGTCTGGGAGGTCTTGCCGCCGATGGTTTTAGAGAGGGACGTTTGGTTGGTTCGATTAGGGAAGTCGAACTCGTGATGATTCTGTTGGTTTTTGTCGTTAGGCTATTAGTAGGATCGTTTTTAATTTTGGAGTAACTCCCATCATTAAGTAGGTCCAGGATTTTGTTGTTGTATGAATCTTTATCCATGATGACCGTGGCATTGCCCTTGTCTGCCGAGAGGATGACTATATCATCTCTCTTTTTTAGATCCGCGAGTTCAGAGCGTTCGTTTTTGCTAATGTTACTAGTGGGTTTCTTAGCATTCTTAAGAATAGTGGCTATTTCAGCTCTTGCTACATCCGCATGGATGTGTCCTATGCCTCTGAGGGCTACATCAATCTGACAAATCACATCCTCTACTGGTATATATTTAGGGGTGGCGGCAAAATATAGTCCTTTGGCCAGTACCGTTTTTAGATTGTTAGAAATTGGGATGTTACTCTGATTAATAACGGTCTTGTTAACATCCAGCTTTGTGATGTGTTACCCACCAAACAACATAGCAGGAGGCTGTTTCTGCCTGACCTGCTTTTGTGCTTTCACCATTTACATGGCAGAGGCTCTGTCTCATTTGCAGAATTTTGTTATGTAGGCTAGACGTAGTCACAAACCGCACCTCTCCATAATAAAGGCTCAGTCATTTGTTATGTAATCTAGCCGTAGTCTCAAGCCACACCTTACCATAATAATAAAAAGTGGGCCGTTCCTGCCCCCCCCCCCCTCAACCATTATATATACGGAGTGGTATCTCTCATTTACTTGATACAGCTGTCGTGCTGTGGCGGTTCCACCTGAAGACGGAAGCTTGTGTTGCCTCCGAAACGTCGTGATTTTTATTTTTATTTTATTTTTATTTTACTCAGGGGCGGTTTCTTCATTAGGGCGATTGGGCGACGCACCACCAATGTCATTCAACCACAGAGTCACGCTAGCCGTCACTGTCAGCCTCTGGATATAGTCCAATCAGCGTCATGTCACGTTCTGTGGAGTACCGCCTCTTTTGGGGCGATTTCACTCCGGCTGAGAATCGCCCCGAGTGGCCCCATAGACTTACATTAAAAGATGTTTTTTTTCGAACGGGGGCGCTCCAATGCATTCTCTATGGCTTCCGGGAGGGCAAGCCCTAACGTGCTTACGTCATCATACGTGCTAACGTCATCATACGTAAGCACGTTTCATCCAACAATATAATTTATCGCTACCTAGTGGAATCTTTAATAAAATAAACTTGAGTGGTTTGTTTTAATAGTGAGTATATAAACAAACAAGATGTATTGTAAGAGTCACTTTATTTTTCATTAATATTAAAGAAGTGAAGTTGCCTTTACATGCTTAAGCTGTTAACTTATTCATTGCATGGGTGGACCTTATCCTTATCAATCATCCAGACATTTGCCCCCCCTGAGAGATTTTGCAGGAGCCGCCACTGATTTTACTTTTATTAATTAAAATTTAATTTTTTTTACCTACGTGACTTTACCGAAAAAAACCTATGAATATGAATCCTTGCAATCACGGAAGCTTCAAATCTAGAATTAATGCCCTCTACGGGAATTCCACCTATCTGTTAGAATTTTTAACAGACGAGACAAGAAGTCACAGCTTCTCGAGACGCTGGCCTTCCTCAAGAGATGCCGAGATAACAAGGTAATACCCATAGCTTTCACACTCACATCCGCTGCTGTGTCCTCACCGAACTCTAAACAGATTTTATTTAAAGCCAGCCTATCACTAATCTCGGAGAGAATAAGGTTACTCCGATCTGAACTCGATAATTTAGGCAAGACTATCTTACAAACACATTTAATGTTAACACAAAAAATGTCACCTTCCGATTGGAACCACGTTGATAACATGACATCTGCTTCTGCTGACTCAATGTCAGCCAAATGCAAAGCTAACCTGATTTCTAAATTCAACCTCCTATCTAAGAAGAAACCAGAGCCACACATCACAAAGCTGGATGTTAACAAGACCGTTATTAATCAGAGTAACATCCCAATTTCTGACAATCTAAAAACGGTACTGGCCAAAGTGTAATAACAGCCATAGAGGGTCCACGTGGGGATTGGCTTGCCGGTCCTGCTTTGTAGCCAATAAGGGTTGAGAAAGGGAGCATGGCCTCGGCGTGATCACGGCATGTCAGCAGGGGTAATTGGCCTGGCCATTCGGGGCCCCAGCTAATGGGGAGCCGGATCAGAGGCGTGGTCCCGGGATTGACAGGGAACCATCGAGAACGGTCAAGGCTGTCCATGGAGGATTGGCTGGGGGGTACCACGTGACGAAGGGATTAAGAGAGAGAGAGAGAATGATCGGGAGCAGACTGGGGAACGACAAGAGCAGGGGTCACGCGCGTACGGGGGCTCTGGGTGCCACGTGCGCGGTGAGGACTTGGTGTTGTTTGCCAGCAACGGAGAGTGTGTGAGTAAAGTGTATTTGTGGAAATGGAAACAAAAAGGACTGATTCCGAAGCTGTCTCAAGAAGGATTATTACAAAAGGACTAAATTTCGCCATCACCCCTGAATATATACCAGTAGAGGATGTGATTTCTCAGATTGATGTAGCCCTCAGAGGCATAGGACACATCCATGCGGATGTAGCAAGAGCTGAAATAGCCACTATTCTTAAGAATGCTAAGAAACCCACTAGTAACATTAGCAAAAACGAATGCTCTGAACTCGCGGATCTAAAAAAGAGAGATGATATAGTCATCCTCTCGGCAGACAAGGGCAATGCCACGGTCATCATGGATAAAGATTCATACAACAACAAGATTCTGGACCTACTTAATGATGAGAGTTACTCCAAAATTAAAAACGATCCTACTAATAGCCTAACCACAAAAACCAACAGAATCATCATGAGTTCGACTTCCCTAATCGAACCAACCAAACGTCCCTCTCTAAAACCATCGGCGGCAAGACCTCCCAGACTCTATGGTCTTCCCAAGATCCATAAAGAAGGCACCCCGCTACGACCCATCGTGTCGACGATAAACTCTCCTACCTAAAAACTAGCCCAGTTTCTATCAGATACTCTGCTTCTCTTCACAGGCAAGACCTCTTCGTCAGTACTCAACTCAACCCAATTAGTCTCTAAGTTAAGGACATGGTACTATCTCCTGATGACATCATCAATTTTGATGTAGTATCTCTGTTTACCAAAGTCCCAGTACCGGACACCCTAACAATAATTGAGGACTTGGTCCAACATGGATTTAATTCTGATGTACCTGCACTGGTTAGGCATTGCCTCAACAACACCTATTTTACCTGGAACGGCACCTTCTACAAACAGAATGAGGGTACCCCTATGGGCTCCCCCTAATCACCAGTGATAGCCAACATGTTCATGGAAAAGTTTGAATCAAACGCCATCCAGACATCCACCCTGCGTCCTTCCCTGTGGAAGAGGTATGTGGATGACACTTTCGTCATTTGGCCACATGGCCTCCCAGCATTGAACCACTTCTTGGACCACATCAATTCCAGACACCCATCAATGAGATTCACCATGGAAGTGGAGAAAGATGGTAAACTACCATTCTTAGATATTCTGTTTGAGAGGAGACCTGACGGATCCTTGGGACATTCTGTCTACATGAAAGCCACCCACACAGATTCCTACTTGAAACCGGATTCCCACCACCACCCATCTCAAAGAATTCTCTCATCAAAACGCTATACCACAGAGCTCATGGCATTTCTGACCAACACCACCTGGCCGGTGAATTAAGACATGTACATCGGGCCCTCAGGATGAACGGATACTCTGACCGCACCATCCGCCAAGCTGTTTCTCCCACCATACAGAAACAGCCACATGAAACTCCGACCAAAACTATCACGTTACCATACATAGCAGGCGTGACCAAAAAGATCTCCAAAATTCTAAACAAACATAAGATCCAAGTCAGATTCAGTACAGTGCATAAAATCCATGATCTGATTCCATCTGTGAAGGATGTCGTTCCTGACTTACAGTATCCTGGAGTCTAAAACCGAGTTGCAGTTGTAGTGATTGCTACATTGGAGAAACAAAACGTCATGTCTCTGATCATGTCCGCGAGCACAAGTCAGATCTGAAACACGGCAGAACTGATTCTTCGGCCGTTGCCGACCATTGCTACAACTCTGTGGGCTCTCATGAAATTGTCTTTTCCGAGACCAAGGTGCTCTGCAAACCTCCTGGCTACCATCAAAGGTTTGTACACGAAGCCATACAAATATACAAACACAGACATAATTTCAACCGTGATGATGGTTACAAACGGAGTAATCATTGGAAAGATGTGATTAACCATGCAAAAAAGATTTAACTACACTTATTTGGACCATCTTATTAGACAGACTACTATTCTTGAGTTACTGTACAGGTTACTGATAGACAGCCAGTTTTGTTTTACCAGGTTTCCTTTTTAAATCCTTTATATTAAGTTTGCTTGCTTGCGTGCTTGCTTGCTTACGACCGTGCAAATCTTTTGGTCGTTTTTTAACCCACTTCCCGTGATCCAATCGAGCTGACATTTTCCACACAGACTCGTTGTGCGAGACAATTAATGTTCGTGAAAATAAAATTCAAAAATTTTACACTTTTTAGGCAAAAAAAAATTATATTACATTCATTCAAATAAAACTCATTCATGGCTTTGGCTGAACGTCACAGTGTAGGAGCCCAGAGCGTAACCCCTCCACAGGCCGTGGCGGAGTAGCGCAGTTGGTAGCGCCCTCGCTTCCCATGCCAAAGGTCGCGGGATCGATCCCCGCATCCTCCACAGGCGAATATATTTTTAAATCCTTTATTAAATCCTTTATATTAAGTTTGCGTGCTTGTTTGCTTGCTTAGGACCGTGCAAATCTTTCGCTCGTTTTTTAACCCACTTCCCGTGATCCAATCGAGCTGACATTTTCCACACAGACTCGTTGTGTGACAATTAATTTTCGTGAAATTTTTTTTTCCAAAATTTTACACTGTTTAGGGAAAACAAATTAAATATTTAATTACCAATTGCTTAATACTGGCAGACAATCATCTGACCCATAGATTGCAGCCATCTCAAGCCAGAGGACGAGAGAACTCTAGCCACCACGCATATAAAGGATTTAGAGTGAAAAACTTTGTTTTTACGGGTTTACTTGTATTAAGTTCACTTGCTTGCTTAGAACCGTGCAAATCTTTCGCTCGTTTTTTAACCCACTTCCCGTGATCCAATCGAGCTGACATTTTCCACACAGACTCGTTGTGTGTGACAATTCATTTTCGTGAAAAAAAATTCTAAAATTTTACACTGTTTAGGGAAAACAAATTAAATATTTAATTACCAATTGTTTAATACTGGCAGACAATCATCTGACCCATAGGTGGCAGCCATCTCAAGCCAGAGGACGAGAAGACTCTAGCCGCCACGCATATAAAGGATTTATAGTGAAAAACTTTGTTTTTACGGCTTTACTTGTTTCACACACTGGTTTTCTGCTATAAGTGTTACCCACCAAACAACATTGCAGGAGGCTGTCTCTTCCTGACCTGCTTTTGTGCTTTTACCATCTACATGGCAGAGGCTCGGTCTCATTTGCAGCATTTTGTTACGTAGGCTAGACGTAGTCACAAACCGCACCTCTCCATAATAAAGGCTCAGTCATGTGTTATGTAATCTAGCCGTAGTCTCAAGCCGCACCTTACCATAATAATAAAAATTGGGCCGTTCCTGGCCCTCCCCCCCCCTCAACCATTATATATACGGAGTGGTATCTCTCATTTACTTGATACAGCTGTCGTGCTGTGACGGTTCCACCTGAAGACAGAAGCTTGTGTTGCCTCCGAAACGTCGTGATTTTTATTTTATTTTACTTTTATTAATTTTAATTTAATTTTTTTACCTATGTGACTTTACCGAAAAAACCTAAGAATACATAGCTCTGTTTTTTCTTTTTTACCTTTTCTTGTTTCATAGTATGTAATGGCAGAGATTAGGGATTAATAAATTACAACGCAATCATATAAACAGAAATCTATGTATTGTTATATGAAGACAAGTCCAGATTTCGTGGCCAAGGTTTAGCAAATTGTTGTTTTTATTAACAGAGCATCGCAATTATTATTTTTAAAAATATTTTTACAGCAATATATTGGAGGGGCATATTTAATTATTATAATTGTTATAACACATTATAATTATTATAACATATTAATTAATATAACATATTATTATAATTATAAAATATTATAATTATTATAACATTATAATTATTATATATTATAATTATAACATATAGTAATTATTATAACATATTTTAATTATTATAACATTATAATTACGGCCTTGTGTCAATGAGATTTGGAGGTATGGTGACTGCACAGAGAGAGACACTTAAACAAACTTAGTAAAATTTGGAAATGCAATGCAACAGAGAGTCGGTCAACACACAACTAACCCATCGCCTGGCTGATTACGTTCTTCCACAGATTGCTAAACTAAGCGAGAGAATTGAAGCAAACGCCATCAGGCGAGGGAAGGAGGTAAGGCCCCGCGTTGTAAAGTTCCAACCTGGGCATCGCTTCCATGTTCGCTGCTACTCAAATGACATCCCGACGAGAGAGAGCGAGGCTCTACCTCGGTAAACAACAACAACCACAACAACAACCACAACCACCACGACTGCGATGAGAATTTCTCACCTCGGATTTCAGTTCCCGCACGGAGCGGCAACTTTACGTTACCTCGTGACGTCACGCGGTAGCAGGTGACATGACGTCACTTGCGTGGTACAAGACACTCTCCTCCCACAATGAGCGGCTCTGTAACTTAATAAATTATGTTAATGAGCCTGGCCCAAACGTGGAGGGATGGGGCGTGGATGCCGAACCGGTCACAACGAACTCGAGACGGCTTTCACGAATATATTATGTTAATGAGCCGCCAGTCACTGGGTGTTGCTTTGCCCAAATAAGGATAGTTCTTGAACAGATAACGGAAGTGACCCAGGCAGAGGCGACGTCACGCTCAATGGCGCGTTGAACGGGGTGTGAATACCTTGGTGACATGACGTCACTAGCAAGGTACACCTCCCCCTGGCGTTTCACGCCGATGAGGTAATGCTGAGTGGTGACATCACAGAGCGGGGTTGGAGTTTAAATTGATTTAGATTCATTTTCCATTGCTCCCTCCCTTGAACAGAGACCCCTTGGGTGTGTGAGCTCAGCAACAACAATGTAGACATTATTGTACGTACACACACTGTGTGTGTGTGTTCACACTGTGTGTGTGTGTTCACACTCAAGTTCAAGTTCATTTATTAGGTATAGCCCTGTGAGCCATTCAGCTCTTGAATCGGGTGCAACCGCAACAAACAAAAAACAAAAACATGAACAAAAAAACATCTTAAAGTGAATATGTGACTAAGTGCAAACAGAAAATCCAAGAAAAGACAGCAAAAATATTGCAGAAAAAACACCGTACACCAACGCTGTGTGCAAAAATCCCAGTGGGATGCAAGTCAAACAACAACAACAACCACAAGACAACTTAGATTAAGGCCATCAGTCTAACTCTGTACTACAACAACACAAACATGGCTAAACCAATACACTTTTCGAAATCACCAAAATAAAGCCATGAAGGCAATGAAAAAGCAATCATAGGAACTGACGGAATTTTCACAATAAATGGCATAAACAACATGTACTACCAAAACCCTGCAGCCATAGCTGGCTGCATGAGTCACTCCACAACAGCAGGAGCATCAATCGGAGTATTGTAATTTTTCAATGCACCTTTAAGATCAGCACACTAAATCAAAACACAGGTCATACTTTGTAGCGATCATCCGGAGCGAAACATTTTATTTTAGGTCACTGAATAGCACTGGCAGCTAGGGGTGTACAACTCCTCTAAAGCAGTTTTGAGTGAAGATCTCATAGGTAGTGACTCAAGTTTCAATTTATTTGCAACAGCATTCCAGACCCTGGGGGCATCAATAGCAAAGGCCCTTCCTCCAGTATATGTACGGCAATAGGGAATATTAAGCTGGTAAATGAGTGTAGAACTTAGGTCAAATTTGTTCTTTGAAACAGAGACGAGATCCAGCAGGTAATCTGCAGATTTTTTTGCAAGTACATCATGAATAAATAAGATCTGGTGCACAAGCCGTCGAACATTCAGAGATGTTAAGTTTGACCCAATGTAGAGATCACAGTGGTGAGTCCTATATGGGCAGTTCAATGCAAATCTTAAGGCCGAGTGATACATTGAGTCACCTGAAGACGGCTGCTTGCGTTGTAGCCGAAACGTCGTGAGAATTGTTTTATTATGTTTTATTTTTATTATTTTATTACTTCCCTTCTACGTGACTTTACCGAAAGAAACAAGAAGTTGAGTCAAGCTTCTTAAGTACAGTACTTGGGGCTGATTTATACACAATGTCACAGTAATCAAGTAGAGGCAGTACGGTAGCTTTAATCAATTCCAAACGGAACATAGGAGGGAAGCAGTGCTTGTGTCGATATAGAAAACCAATTTTAATTTTTGTCTTTTTCCCAATATAATCAATGTGATCTTCAAAATTCAGTTTTGAATCCAGGATGACCCCAAGATACTTATAGATCTTGACTTGCTCTATTTGATCATTATTTAAGGTATGTAATTGGGGAAAAATAACTTCCCGCTTTAGTCCTGGTGAGAAGCATAGCACCTTGGTTTTGGCAGGATTTAGGACTAGTTTAAGAGCAACTAGCTGATGTTGTAGTTTGTTGAAATCACTCTGGAGCTTAGCAATCACGTCATCCGGAGAGCGGCCAGCAGTAATTAGTACCGTGTCATCTGCAAAAAGATTTACCCTGGAATAATCCAGTTCAGTGCCCAAGTCATTTACATAAAGAGAAAACAAGAGGGGGCCGAGAATGGAACCCTGTGGAACCCCTTTTGTTATCTTAACACTGTTTGACCTCCAACCATCTGTGAATAGAGTTTGGGTGCGAGAAAAGAGGTAATTTTTTAACCATTTTACTGTGTTTTCGGAAAAACCGAGGCAACTTATTTTACTAAGCAGGATGTTGTGGTCTACTGTATCAAAAGCTTTGGACAAGTCAAGAAAAAGACAGGCGCAGTACTGCTTATTATCAAGGCTACTGTAAATGTGATTCAGAGAGTCTAATGCAGCAGATGTGGTGCTGTATTTTTTTCGGAACCCAGATTGTTTTAGATGTAATAGATTGTTGGCGGACAGGAAACTGCTAATTTGGTAGGTCAATAATTTTTCAAAAATTTTCATCAACGGGGACAAAATTGAGATAGGTCGGTAGTTATTTGGATCATCTTTAGGGCCCCCTTTGTGAAGTGGACGAACATAGGAATGTTTCCATTCTAGAGGAACTGATGCTTCTTTGATGGACAGGTTGAAAATATGGGCTATAGGTTTGTATATTAGGTGACCAACAGTTAGTAGAGCAAAGACGGGAATACTATCTGCTCCGGTAGAGGAGGACCCTTTGAGGTAGGACAGTTGTTTCAGAACATTACTTTCGTGGATTGGCTGAAAACTAAATTCGCTTAATGTTTGGACAGGAGTGTAGGAATTTGCATGAGCAGGGGTGACTCCCAATACATTATCAAATAGGGTACCAGCTTCAGAAAAATGAAGGTTAAAATTGTCAACTATTTTTTGGGGATCTGAAAAATATTCCCGATTTCGGTTAAGCTGAACGGGCAGATGATCTGTTTTGGATGCCTTTTCGATACATTTGATTGTTTTCCAGAAAATCCTGGCATTTCCATGAGATTCAAGGAGAGTGGAAGAGAAGTAGTTATTTTTTGCATGCCGTATTTTTTTGACGCATCTATTCCTTAAAATCCTGTATTCTAGCCAGTCATTGACCAAATTACTTTTCTGAGCACATGCCCAAGCCTTGTCCCTAGTTTTCATGAGCTTTGTAATCACAGGATCAAACCATGGTGGACGGTTGCCTTTAGTTTTAAATTTAACCAACGGAGCATGTTTGTTAAGAATTTGGAGAAACGTGTACCTGAAGGTCTCCCAAGCCGTAGTCAGGTTTGGAATATCACAGACCTTGTCAATATCCGAGTGAAGCACATCATTAGTAAATGCCTGAGTGCTGAAGTGTCTCATGGAGTGCTTCTCAACCAATTTAGGGGGGGCTTTGGGTCTGGCTGATGATCTCACCCCAAAAATGAAGGAGTGATCACTAAGGTTATTACCTAGAACACCAGTCAGTGCGAAATTGTGAGGGGCATTTGTCAATAGGACGTCAAGCAGAGATGACTGTCCCGGATTTTTTAGGTTGGGTCTTGTGGGGACATTTATTAATTGAAACAGGTTAAATTCATCTGCAAAATTTGTGGCCACGGCCGGCGGGTTTAGCCAATTCCAATTTAGATCACCCACTAAAACTATTTCACCTTTAGGGAGGCCCCCAAGAAGCTCTCTCAGTGCAGATGCAGCTTCAACATCCTTCCCACTAGGCGGTCTATAGCAGCACACTACCAATATGTGTTGATTATTAGGGAGAGTTATTCTGAGAGCCAGACCTTCAAAGCAACATTTTTTAAACAAGGAGTGAGCTGGTGAACATGCAATAGTATTACGAACATAGATGGCAATTCCACCTCCTTTAGATCCTCGGTCAAGCCGAAAAAGATTGTAGTTGTCAATCGTAATCTGCAAGTCATTGACGGCAGGAGTGAGAAATGTTTCTGTTAGGCAAAATATGTCCGGGTCAAGATTTGCTACTTCTAGTTTTAGTTGACTTAATTTAATCAAAAGCCCTCTGATGTTGACATGTAGAACACCAACACCTTTTCTGCCAGAAAAATCTACAGAATTATATGAGTTCTTTACATTTGGTCCAGGATGAAGCTCAATACCACCCAGAAATAAGAAAAGTAGAATTAATAGTTTGCACAGGTATTTTCTGTGAAAGGATGAAGAGCGACGAACCTTGGACGAATAGCAGCAGCTCGCAGATGGTGTTATTTTTAAGAGCAGAATGAAGTTTGGAAGGAGTGCTGGTGAAGTAATGGGACAAAGATAGGGTTTAAAAGGATATAATGATGGAGTGTAGAAGTGTCTATAAGTTGTTTCATTAGCAGGTGTAGTTGCAAATTTAGCAATAAGTATTGACGCGAAGTAACGCGGGTAGCCATTTGTAGAGTTGAGTGTGGCACTAGATATGGCCGGGAGGGACAGTAGTAAGATACACAGCAGGTGAATTGACATCTTTAAAACACTAAATTTAAACACACACACAGCTCACTCACACGCAGCTCACCCTCACCCACTCTCACGCACAGCCCACACCCATGCAGCACAACGCACACGTGGCCGCACACGCCGCCGCCATCTTGCTGCTGTTGTTGTTGCAGCTGCTGTTGTTGTTGCAGCTGCTGTTGTTGCTGCAGCTGCTGCTGCTGTTGTTGTTGCAGCTGCTGCTGTTGCTGCTGCAGCTGCTGCTGTTGTTGCTGCAGCTGCTGCTGTTGCTGCAGCTGCTGCTGTTGTTGCTGCAGCTGCTGCTGTTGTTGATGCAGCTGCTGTTGTTGCTGCAGCTGCTGCTGTTGTTGCTGCAGCTGCTGCTGTTGTTGCTGCAGCTGCTGCTGTTGTTGCTGCTGCTGCTGCAGCTGCTGCTGTTGTTGCTGCAGCTGCTGCTGTTGCTGCTGCAGCTGCTGCTGTTGCTGCTGCAGCTGCTGCTGCTGTTGCTGCTGCAGCTGCTGCTGTTGCTGTTGCTGCTGCAGCTGCTGCTGTTGTTGCTGCAGCTGCTGTTGTTGCTGCTGCTGCTGTTGTTGCTGCAGCTGCTGCTGTTGCTGCAGCTGCTGTTGTTGCTGCAGCTGCTGCTGTTGTTGCTGCAGCTGCTGCTGTTGCTGCAGCTGCTGCTGTTGTTGCTGCAGCTGCTGTTGTTGCTGCAGCTGCTGCTGTTGTTGCTGCAGCTGCTGCTGCTGTTGCTGCTGCAGCTGCTGCTGTTGCTGCTGCTGCCGCTGCTGTTGTTGCTGCAGCTGCTGCAGCTGCTGCTGTTGTTGCAGCTGCTGCTGTTGCTGCAGCTGCTGTTGCTGCAGCTGCTGCTGTTGCTGCAGCTGCTGTTGCTGCAGCTG